CTCTGCTACCTCTGGTCAATGCCAACGACCTTAGGACTACCTCCTCTTTCGACTCTCTCCCACTCTGCCACCCACCTACATCCGCATCACCTCCGGACCTCCACCACCATACCTCCACCTCCTCGGACCCCTTGTTCGAAGAAGATGGGCTTGCTCATTGTTGATGAATCCCAACTTGTCATTCCACCCTCCTTCCTACCTCCGGTCTCCACACCTCCAGTACCTCCTCATTCCTATATTACCTCCAGTCTTGATAATCTTATTGTTTTATCATTTGATATTTTCTACAACCCCAATCTTCCAGACTACAACTTCCGGGCTCCGGACCTTTCCAGACATCTTTCTCTGTAGTTCCCTGGTTGTTCATAGATGCTTTCAGACCTTGCCATTCAGTTGGCTTTTATTTCTCTCACTCCACAAAACCTCAGATGTAATTCAGGCTTTTCGCCTATTCCTGTTTGTCTTGTGGACTTCTTTCTATTTACTTCCCCTTCCCCTTGGTAACCTTTGTTTACCTTCGGATCCAATTGTTTCCGCTATATGTACATGCATACCCCTCTAGTAAATAGTTCCCCCAGTTATAATATAAACAGTCTTCAGCCCTCCAAAACCTCTTCCAGGACGTCTATCGTGTCCCACTCATCTGCTGCTCCTAAGAACTGAGTAACAGGCACTCCCAGAGACGCCTTGGTATAACACCCAACGAATCACGTGACGAACGATTGACCCTCGCTAATGCCTCCACCATTAAGTAGTGAGGGGGGGGCCTCTGGCCCCCTTCTGCTGGTGGCCTCGGTTCCTCCATCGCCAGCCCCCCCTGTTATAAAAATGGGGCCTAATTGGCCCATTTCTATAGTGTTCGGGTGCAGGAGAGGGCCGTGACATCGAAAGAATGTTACAGTTAATGTAACAGAAGTTAAACAGTGGTGTTTACAATAACATGGACAGGAGTGTTTTTGGGTAGTAATTGATGGTTAGGTTGTTACTATTTACATGTCACGTGATATTATAGTACACAGGGCTCATAAGAGGCTAGAAATGGGAAATTCCCATTTCCATAACACCCCCTGACAAATTGGGGACAACGAGAACGTACCGGGTGCAGTGCTCCATTCCAAGTCGCTGAAGCTGAGTCCCTTCAACACCCCGTCACCCTTGGAGCTCCACTCCACCTCTGGTCTGGCTCCGACCCACCATCAGATGACCCGGAACACCGAGCTCCACCTGACAGCGTTGTTGTGGGGACAAGTCCGTGCAGGTCAAACCAACACTTATCACACATTTCACCCCCTACTGCATCAGGGACTAGGATTGGTGAGTCGTGCTAATAGTAGGAGTTGTAGAGAATGTGGAGGTGGTTCTGACGAGTTTAAGATCGTCGGATTTGGTGGAGTGGTTGAGGAGATATGGCTTTTTCTTTATTTTCCTTACTATTTTCATTCATTCACACATGTGACTTTCCTTTTATATTTGTATCGGACTCTTCCATGACAACTGTACAGAGTTAGTTAGAGGTTAGACAGAGTATCAGCACCGTACTTGCAGGACCCACACCTACTTGAGAGATAGAGAGAGACCTACCCCCCTAGACCTGAGTTGCGAGTCTAGTTGGATAGACCCATTACACCGCCCCCCATGTAACTATATATACATAACTTGTAGATAGGTTACACCCTAGTGATAAAATCAACTAGAGTTATCCCCCTTCTAGTTCTTGTTGCCAGTTAGTAAATTAGGGCATGGATGTGTAACTAGGCACAGCGCTCCTGGTCTAAGTCACTGAGGCCAAAGCCCTCTGCCACGGGGACGTCTCCCTCGTCCCGCAACAAGTTTCCAAATTTGGCAACTGTCACCCGCATATTCCACCGCTTTGTGTTTTGGGAGTGGGGTGCTTCACATGGGTGATAGAATTGTGATAATCAGCTTGTTTGCGTGGTACCATGTAAGGGGTTGGTGTAGGTTCCAACCCCAGTTCTCCTCAATCCTCAGGTAGTCAATAAAGTTGAGCTGTATGGAGCTTTAATTATCAACAATGGGGAGGAAAAGGAGTTCTGTTCCTTTTCCCAAATTCCCACATTATTGTATATACATTGTTTATACATGTTTATTATGAGACACATATAGAATGAAGATAGGAATTAAGGGGTGGGGTTACCACTCCTTACATACTGGCTGTGCCCGCCTACATTGTCCTGGATCTGGTCTCTGACAAAAATACACTGTAAATAAATCCTGTAAATATGAGGTGGAGCATGAAAAAGGAAGGTAACCCAAGGAGTATAAAAGGGAGACCCTTTCTGTGACTTTACGCCCCCCTCAGAGAAGTAAGAAAATAGGGTATTATTTTTCTCAAGCATTTCTGGTTATCACTCCTGTGCGAAAAAGTGAAATATGGTTAAGATTGCCACTGTAGTAAAAGGCAGCAATTAGGGAGAGAGATATTAAGTAAATATTTCAACAGGAGAGCTGGTTAACACTCCAGATTTCAAAGTGTAACAAAACAGTTATGTTGCTACTGTTAACACAAGCAATAAAAATAAGACAAAAATAAGACAAGGCCAAGGAACACTTCAGACACAATATAAACCGATTGACGGAGTAGAATCTTTGAAAATTCACCAAGTAGAAGATTTACTTCAGGTTAAAATTCCAAAGTTAACAATCCTATGCAGAATTATATCTAGATAAATTGAGAAATTACATGAAGGGAACAGCTGTCAGGGATCGGCCCCTGACCCCGCTGTCAGGGCACCCAACCACACCCCAGAACCACCTTCCCAGACTTCCCCCACTCCCCAGACCTCCCCATCCCTACATACCTCTCACAGCTTCAGCCCGCATGTGAGCCCGTGGGAAAAATCACGTGGGTTAAGGCGAGCAACTTGCCTTAACCCATGTGACACCTTTTCCGAGTCGTGGGAACATGCTCGGCTTCTACCCGGAGTCACGTTATGAACTGTACAGTACACTTCCTTTTTATAGTAGCCAAGCGGGGAATAGGGAAACTTACCCTTCTTCTCAACTCAATCCCCGCTTAGTCCCTTCAGTGAGTTTGAGGAGCTGAGGACAGGGTCTAGCGCCCAACCACCTGGAACACCGCACACACCTAGGACTGAGGTCGGGCTGTCCCTGATCGAGGACCGAGCCCTGACAACAGCTCCACAGGGCTTTGTTCATCTGTAAGTCATTTCTCAGAGACTTTAGACTAACCCATAAAATAGAGTTGGCCAAAACACCTGGATTAGTACTATATTTACAACAAATCTACTAGTACACTTCCCCATCCAAACTAAAGAACCAGGGAACAGATTGGTGGTGGTCTTGTTAGAACCTCCCGACTGACCTTCCTTTGTTCTCTCCTTCAGCGTGCTCCAACAGACCTCTGCTGTCAGAGACCAGATTGAGACGAAGGAATGTCTCCATGGTGGAGGGCTTCAGCCTCAACGACTTATGCCAGGAGTGCTGTGCCAAGTTACACGTCCGTGCCCTAACTTACTTACTGGCAGCAAGAACTAAAGGGGGTCAACTCTAGTCAATTTTATTACTGAGGTGTAACCTATTTACAAGTCAAGTATATATAGTTACAGTGGGGGTGGGCCTGTAAACAACGGGGCCAAGCGGAGCGGAGCTAACGGGGTTAAACATTAGCCGATTGAATATTACCAACAAGTCGGGTTACAGGGTTAGCGGAATGGTAGGCGATAATCCAGAAACGGAAAGGAGGGATAGGCCCGAAGGTGGGCTTGCAGGGCAAGCGAATGTATTGCCCAGCGGAGGCGGGGGTATCAGTACCTGTCATTATCACTCAGACTTTGACTGAAGTCCTTCTCCTCCTCCCTCTTAAATATACCAGTAGATTAGAACCCATTGTACCCCAGTTCTAATCTTGACTAAACTTACCCCAAGTCCCTCTATGAGTGAATCCTGACCCCCTCCTACAAGATACCTCAGACATATGAAATAAAAGGACTAACTGAGACATAATGGAGGCACAGCGCTCCCTCCGAGTCACTGAGGCTGCATCCTTCTTAGAGCCTCTTGTACCACCCAGCAGACTCGGGCTTCCTGGAGAAGCTTTGGTTCACTACCAGAGCTCTCGGAACCCCTCTAGTTGAGCCCCACCTGCATTCAGACTCATGCCCCTGTATGGGGTTTTTGACACAGGTGGCAGCAGCAGCACAAGCAATGATGGGAGTATCCCAGTCATGTTGGCTCATGAATAAGCTGCAATATGCAGCGTGTAGCCAGACACAATGCAGCCAATGGGAAATTAATGTTGACAGGCTGTCAGGGACAGTACAGGAGAGGTGGGGGTAGTGGCCCAGGCGGCGGTGGAGTGGTGGGAATGTATAGCGAATGGCCCTCACTCGGGCTCGCATCCCTGTCCAGCTTCTTAGGCTGAAGCAGTAGTGATTGTTATTAGGATGAAAGACTAAGCCAAACTAAAGTAAGACACTTGCCTGAAGCAGTAGTGAGAAGAAGGCTGCTTCTTCGGTTCTGCTTCGGCTCGGTTTATATACAGGTGGGAACGGGTCATGTGGGGGGTGCCATGTCAGCCCGGGTGGAGCTGGGTTATTGCGGATGGCTCCGCGGGCGGTCCCGGGTGTCAGAGGGGAGAAGTACAAGTGAAGATGTGCGGTGTATCTGGCGGCGCAGTATCCACGCAGGGTACTCGGCGCTGGACATGTCCGTGCTACATGGGTAAGGGGAGAGGTCGTCCATATAAAGAAAGAAAGGAAAGAAGGGAAGAAGGAAGACAAAGGAGAAAGGGAAAGAGGGAGAAGAAGGAAAGAGGAGCAGCAGGAGGGTGCAGCGTGGAGCGGAGTGGCATGCCCTGACACAGGCATGTCGATGACGAAGGTGACAACATGTTATGGAGCGGATGTGTTGGAGCTGGGGATGGAGTAATGGCGACAGTGGGTGTGGCAGTGCAGCAGAATGATTCAGTGTGGTTGGCAGCAGGCATGTTGATGTCAGACAGCACAGACTCGGTGCTTATTCTAACACCTCAATAATGCTAGTGATGAGGCAGGGCCATTGAAGTCGGTATCGAGAATAGTGAGATGGCCGGAGTCGAAATAGTCGCCAGAGTTGTGGAATTGCATGACTGGTGCTGGGAATGGAGTCGACGTGGCTGGCAGGAAATAGGAAGTGAGTATGAACCATAGCCAGCAATGTGTTGGCATCAGCATACAGCGAATCAGTTCAGGTGGAGGATGGATGGTGGAGGCCGCACGATTGACCATGAGTCGATGTGGTGAAAACATATCCAGGACACGAGATGACGAGTTTGTCAGCAGAGATCCACCTGCAAGGGTGATCATCTACGACAGTCACAGGTTGAGACCATGGGTAATCATATCCATTGTGTGTAAATATGTTGTTTCTCCAATTCCAGCACATCCAGGCGAGTCCCAGTAGTCCATTAGGACTAGAGAGAGGATTGTCCTGAGGGAGATCGCGACTGTCAAGCTGATACAACGATGGTTTTCTGAGTTGTGTTCATCTGAGTCGCATTCTGTGTAGTTGCTACAGCCTAGACAACACTAACACGAGTCTGGAATGTCATCAACATGTGAGTTACACGTTGAGAAAAGACCAGAGATGTGTGAGCGCAAATATCTAAGCATGCATGTGCACAAATTTCGTGTGTGACCCCCAGAAAGACATGTGGAAACATGTGCAGATGCTGTCACGAACCCACCCAGGGAAGATCAGAAATGCTACCCAGGTGGTGCCATGCAAGACGTGTACTAGTCAGGGAGTAATAAAATACTGTCAGAGACCAGATCGAGACAAAGGAAGGTCTCCGTGGCGGAGGGCTTCGGCCTCAGCGACTTATGCCAGGAGCGCTGTGCCAAGTAACACGTCCGTGCCCTAACTTACTAACTGGCAACCAGAACTAAAAGGGGGTCAACTCTAGTCGATTTTATTACTGAGGTGTAACCTATGTACAAGTTGAGTATATATATACAGTTCTCCAAAAAACCATTTCAATGTTCAGCACTTTTCACTTGATGGGCTTATAGCATTATGGAAACACCTTCTAAAATTCCCATAAAGTCATGAAATATTACTCACCATCTCATCTACAGATATGCAAATTATCTAAGCAATATATCTATTTTTGTTAAAGTTATTCAATTTACAAGGCACCCATGTCATCGAAATGGTTTTTTGGAGTTGATTTTTGGGAGAAGAAAATAGCATTTATTAATACTTGGTATAGCCACCCTTTGCCTTAATCACTGCCTCAATTCTCCTAGGCATACTTTCAATCAAATTCTGACAAATATTTGGTTCTATCTTGTCCCATTCCTCCTGAAGCCGATCCCACAGCTCATGAACACTATTTGGAGGTTCTTCATACTCCCCAAGCTTCCTTTTCACATGATTCCATAAGTGTTCGATTGGATTGAGGTCTGGGGACTGGGAGGGCCACTCCATGACCCTAATACCATGATTGTTGAACCAGTTATGGGCCCTTTTGCTGGTATGTTTGGGATCATTGTCCCGTTGGAAGAGGACATGGGCAGGGTTCTTGCCATAATATGTTGGAGTTCATCATCCAGGATTTGGCAGTAAAGCTCCCCATCCATCCTCCCATCAATCTTGCATGCCATCCCAACCCCATCCCACATCATACATCCCCACACCATGACTGATCCACCACCAAACTTTTTGGTCCCTTGCACCAGCCTGTCACTGAGAGGCTCACCCGCCCTCTTCCACACCCATTTCCTCCCATCTGAGCCCAGGCGATTAACCTTGGTCTCATCTGACCACACCACTCTCTTCCAGTCCTCCAGAGTCCACTCCTTGTGGCTTATTGCAAAGTCCATTCTGTTTTTCCTATGCTTCCTGCTCAGCATAGGCCACTTCTTCTTCACCACTGCTTTCCAACCAGCTTCCTTCAAGTGCAGGCGGACAGTCTCAGGTGAGAGGCTCTTGTTGGTGATTTTTCAGAGCATTTGGGTGACTTGGGAAGAGTTGTCAGCCTTGCCAGAGTTAATGAGGCATTGGGCATGGCAAATGTCAGTCCCTGACAGCTTGCATGGACGCCCACCACTGGGCTTAGGGACATCAGGATGGTGTTGAGACCAGAGCTGAGTGATAGTGGAAGCTCCATGGCCAGTAGTAGATGCAATCTGGCAAGCACTGTGACCAGAATCAATGAGGGAAAGGACTTGTGCAGTTTGTGAAGCAGATAAGGGTCACACTTTAGATTTGGGGGAATTATAATGCAAAATCCTTTGGTATTTATGCTCCAGCGATGTCAGTCTGTTTACTAGTGTGTACAGTAAACAATGTCACATGACTTGACATGTGATATTTTGTTTTTTAGGTTGTGCCAGGGGCACTCCAAAAAACTGTTTCGATGACATGTGTTAGAACTGGGCGGATTCGGACGACTCCAGAGTGGAATCGGAGACTTAGCATGGAAGGACCTTGGCCTCAGTGACTCAGGCGGAGCGCTGTGCCATTGCTGGTTGTCCTGGGGGTCCCTAATTTCGGATCTAGCAGAGGGAAAGTCTCTTGGGGGCATTCAAGTTGATTTCGGACTGAGGTTACAAGTTACTAGGTACATTGTATATAAGGAGGGGTCCAGAATCAAAAGGAACAAGGGTAGGTGTCAGGGCACACCCGCCTGACCCAGCTCCACCCGGCCCAACCTGACCTGGTACCCCACTGGTCCACCCCTCCTTACCTCCTCCCCCTCTCCCTTCTTTCCCTCTCATCCTTCCCTCCTCAGCTTCTCCTTATCCTACTCCTTCTTTATTCTCTCTTTATTCTACATGGACGACTTTCTCTGTATCAATGTACCATTGACCCATCTGCAGTGCGCCCACCATGTACCCAGCCCGGGCACCTCAGGCGACTTCCCGCTGTGCCCAGCACGCGCGCCTGCACCAGATGCCCTCGGGATCTCCCACGGAGATACCCGGATGGTTACGGCTGTGTGCGAGGGTGACGTGGCACCCGTCATGTGATCCAAGCCGCATGTATATAAACGAACCTGAAGTGGGAACCGAAGAAGTAGCCTTCTTCTCAACTTTCCACTTCAGGTAAGTAGTACAGTATCCCTCCTTTAATGATAATAACAACTTTCCACTTCAGTCTAAGTGGTCAGGGACCATTGTCCCGCATCGGGCCTGTCAGTACGCACGCCCGATCTGCCCCCCGCCAGGCTCTCAGTCCCGGACGCTACACCCAGGCCCCTTCAACCCCGGACAAGTCCCTGACAGTAGGACAAAAGGAGACAAAGGGAGATGGAAAGAGGAACAACACCGAGGGTCAAGTGTTTGACTCAATGGTGTTTCCCAAAGGAGGAATGAAGGGCCAAGGCCCAAGAAGGAAGGAAGGAGGATGGGAGTCGGGAATGGCTAGCTGACTGAATAGAAGGAAGCAGCAGCCCAAATAGGAATGAGGGAGAATAGCGGAATTGAAATGGACAATGCAATAGTTGCAAGGTCCGGAGTAAGTCCGGAAAGTCCGAACTTGGAGGTTAAACTCCGGAATATTGGCAAACGTAATTAAATGGAATGAGCTAACCAATACAATGGGTATAAGCAGAGGTGGGGTCAAAGTCCGAGGTCGGAGCTAAGACCGGAGGTTCCGGAGATGGAGATGCAAACAGGATTCCGGAGCGGAGGTCCGGAGTTGGGAACATAGGTGTTGCATGCTCGTCTGGAAGGTGTCGAGGATGAGGTCGGACCCAGAATGTTCGGGAGTTGGACCGAAGGTGGTGTTGGAGCCGGAGGTGGGATAACCTCTTGGAAGTCAGGTTCGGAGTTCCGGGAGCCCGGAACGGAGGTCGGGATTGTATGGATATGACAACATGGGTGCCTGGTAAATTAAATAACTATTTGCGGATCTGTAAATGAGATAATAAGTAATATCTCATGATTCTATGAGAATTTTAGACTGTGTTTCCATAATGTTATAAGCCCATCAAGTGAAAAGTGCCAAACATCGAAACAGTTTTTTGGAGAACTGTAGTTACAACAAGGGCTGGCCCATAAATGGCGGGGCCAAGCTGAGCAGAGCTAACGGAGTTAAACATTAGCCAATTGAATATTACCGACAAGTTGGGTTATGGGGTTAACGGAATGGTAGGCGATAACCCAGAAACAGAAAGGAGGGATAGGCCCGAAGGTGGGCTTGCAGGGCAAGTGAGTGAATTGCCCAGTGGAGGCGGGAGTGTGCTAGTGGACATCGGAGCTGTCCAGAAACCTTCGGGGCACCATACTTAGGGAGGTGTAGGTAATATATTGAAAAGAGGGGGTGGTGACCATCGAAGAGAAGCGGAGGTGGTTGCAGAATATGGGAGCTCTGAGGTTAGTGAGGAAGGAGCAGAGGTAGTCCGGAGAGTTCGGAGGTAGTGGAAGTCGATGGCTGAGTATGGATATGACAGTCCACCCAGGTCAATGTTCCCCTCTACCCAGGTCAATGGGGACCCATTTCCATGCTCAATCCTGCGCCCATATACACTCTGCCTAGTACACCCCAAACTCAGGTTGCCGCAGCAGGGCCAGCTCAGGCATCAGTCTTAGGGGCTAAGTCGGGGAACAGGCAGGTCAAAGGAAAAGACAAAGAGAAATCCAATGAGAAAGGTACGAAAGGTATGTCCCAATGTTTTATTACTTCTTTGGACCTCACCGAGATACTTCTGATCAGAATTTGAGTATCAATTCATGTTGAACACGATGGATCCGAAGAAACAGAACAAAACCATCTACTTTCCAGACTTGAAGTCCCAATCACCAGAAGAGGTTCTCAATGGAATTCTCATTAGGATGAAGGTGGACCTCTCCATGCACCAGATCGGATATCGTTTATCCAATGAGAAGGAATCCATCTTCACTCAGATCTGCAATGTGGATGATTTCACTTGCACTATTCATGCACAGCATGATATTCAATCTCGTGCATACAAATCAAAGAAACTACGAATTGTTAATAAGGTTTGTGGTCCACTGTGCTACCCACATGAGTCTTAAGTGTTGGGGTCTATCTAGGATGCCGTCAAAAAAGAGCTTTGACCTATGGCAATCAAGAAGTGCTGTAGAGCCACAACCCCATCTGTTGACAACACTTCATCCATGCATCGAGTAATTTATGATGAACTTCACAAGAGACTCTTCTGCCATGGTTGTGGGCAATGCTGTTACTGCCATCCTGATGCTAATTTCCACCATTTGCATGTCACAAATGAGGCCCTTTCCCTTTGGGCGAAAGCATTGGTATGTCCAAGTCCATCTCACTCATGCTTTCACTTTCTAAAGCTGATGATCCCATAGGCCGATGGGGTCAAAGGAGTCTCCTTTGTTGAGCCACCCAAGAGTCGTTTATTTAGTGCTTCACCTCTCAAACCTCTCACGCAATTGGATGATCCCCATACCTGGAAGCGTGACCAATCAACTTCTCCTCCTTCTCCGACTCAGATGCCAGCCAAGTGCAGGAAGGCCCATTTGGAAGCTACTCGCAATATATGAGCACTCTCAAAGGACTTCCAGAATACCAAACAGTCCGTGGTTGACTGTCAAGTCCAAGTCCCGTGCTCAATCACCACTTCAGAGAATAAACCCGTGGTTAGGGCTCCTAGCGGATCGGATAACACTCGGATATCCGCGGATGCGGATTTGGCTTTTGACAGGATAATATCCGCGGATCTATTGTCGCTACTGTTCTAGATACCCCTCCTATGTTTCTATATTTTCTTCCAATTTTTTCAAGTCTTATTTGACCACCCAGGCCTGTTATTCCCAAATTAGGCATTTGACCTCCAAGTTTTCCACCATTCTCCCCATATTTCCATCAGTTCTCCACCAATATGGACAGATTTGGGATTGTTAGAAAGCTCTTGTCAAGGACAATTCTGACGAAATGCAACTTTGGAACATTTTATCTACAATCCGCGGTTGATCCGCATATCCGCGGATTTCTAACCGCCGGATACGGATTTTATTTCAAACCTCTAAAAATCCGCGGATTCTGATCCAGATCCGATCCGCTAGGAGCCATACCCGTGGTCCTAGTCCCAGCAACTCCGAGTCCAGGGACCCATTCATATGTTCTAGATCTTTCTCCGAGTCCAGTCAAACATGCTTCGACTTCACAGCACACCCACATCTCTCAAACCCAGACAAACTCTCAGGGAAAAAATTGGCGTTTTACTACTTGTGTGCAACATGAGAACAAGCCCGCATTGCCTCCATCTCCTTCCATTATTGAAATATCCTCCGATTCAAGCACTCTGGAGGAGTGCATTGCATTACCCTCGCCACCAGTGGCACACATTGGTCCTGACTCCGACCACGCATCTAATGGTAATGATGAATATGATGGTGAGACTGCTCAAGATGAACTGGCCAATGATTCGTGGGAGGAAATCTGGTAATTTCTCTAGCAATTCTGCTGTACTATACAAGCCCCCATGGATGGTGGGTTTTCTGTATGAATTCATCCTATGGATGTCTACTCACTGTATATCACTAGTCCCTCACTTGCATAATGTCTTCACTTGCCCTGTATATTCTACACATGCAAGTATAATGTACATAGGTTTTGTTTGAATGTAGTATAGGAAGAAATGAAATAACGTTGCAGCTTAGATGTAACCTGAGTGCCTGAACCATCCACCGGCTTGACATCTTGTCACGGAGAACACAACTGTTACAGGAATGGGTTCCGGGGAACCCAACCTGAGCCGTTCGGCTCACTAATGGAGGTGGCTGCGTAGCCATCGGAGGGAGAGCAGAATAGGATGAGGGTATGGGAGTACAACCTGTGTGTCGGCCAACGGTAACTTGGCGCTCTTGGGAGCGTACCGGTAGCGAGTATGATGTGGGCTCCTTGAGGGAGCCACCTGGCTGTCTGCTAACGGGGACTTGGCGCTCCTGGGAGCGTGCCGGTAGCAGGTGTGCTGGGAGTGTCTGGCTAGTGGTGACTTGGCGCTCAATGGAGCGTACCAGTAGTGAGGGATAATGGGACTCCCAAAGGGAGTCACCCAGTTGGTGGCTATCGGTGACTTGGTGCTCATGGGAGCGTACCAGTAGCGGGAGTTGTTGGGGAAAGCGGGCTGGTGGACCAGTGCACGGTAGTGGGTGACCATGGGAAGTGGGACCTGCGGGTGCGTGGCCAGGCATCCTGGAGCTGCCTGGACCGTATCCTTCTCCTGAGGAGGTGGGATAGGCTACAGTTCCTGATAGGGAACTTCTGGTTGGATGGGAGTAACCACTCGACCACCCGGTGGACTGGTGGGAGTGGACAGCAGGAGGTTGGGCATGGGAATGCCCTCCTCGTTGCAGTTTTGTCATGGAGAGGAGGAATAGGGAGGTGGACATGGTTCCAGGGTTACAGGTTGAGTTTACAGTGGTGGCACAATGGTGAGGATGTTACAATCGCGGTACAAGGTTTTTGGGTTATGTGTTTGATAATGAGAAAACATCTCGGCAATTACCATACATGTCATATGACTTGTATCTATCTAATACAAATGTTATAATGGCCAAAGGAAGTCCTTTGGAAATCAACAAATCCCCCAGCCAGCACCAAAACCCAGTGGGAAAGCTTGGCATGGGGTTTGGCAGAGAATGAAGTGAGAAGAAGTAAGAAATATCTTATCTGTGTGCCTGGTCTATAGGAGTCTAGGCCCATTTCCATAGCAAAGGGCCTCAAGGTCTGGTTGCCTGTCACGGACCATAAGATTCTCCATTTCCATAACAACAACTCTTATGAGTAACTCAGCTGCTCAGTAGTGTGACCCAGAGGAAAACTCATTGTTGACATAGTCTCGGTCCTGTCGGAGGCTTTGCTTGATCGTGGAGAATGCCAACTCTATTGGGTTAAAGTCAGGGGAATAAGGTGGGAGATATTCAAGGACAACACTGCTACAATATATCTTAGTATATCAAATGCCTCTAGATTGAGAACCACGTGCACCGCTCATGACACATCTCTAGCAAGTGTCAGGGGACAGACCCCAGGTCCCCATGACCCCTCTCTATGGCCCACAGTCTAACCTGTGAACAGCCCTGTCCAGGGCACAACTACTGTGGGTAAGAAAGTGATATAAACAAAGGGGCAAGTAGATACACTTGCCTACTGTGGGTAAGAAAGTGAGAAGAAGGTTAACTTCTCACTTTCCCACAGTGGCCCCAATATGGCGAAAACTTCCGGGGATACCCGGAAGTCACATGAGGTGGGATCCGGGGTCGGATCATGCGGTGCACGGAGCATGCGGCGCGGGAAATGTGTGGGAAGTGGAGCGGGTCCGGATGCGGGTCCGGGTCCGGGCTAAGTCAGGGTATGTGCCCTGACAGCAAGGTATCAGATTTATGAATGGACGCATTGTCCATAACAAGGACAGATTGGGGCTGGGGATATGGGTTCATGTGAATGAGAAGGGAAGCAATGAAGTCATTGAATGATTCAGTGGTATATGCATTTTTTTGCATATCGACGTGAATGATTCCATTGACCGACAGGGCAGGAAGAACAGAGTACCTGAAGAGTAAAAATTGAATATTGTGGTTACCAATTAAATGCTCAGTACAAACTTAGTGCCACGGACAAAGAAATCACGTTGGTGAGCCCTATCTCCACAAGGGGCCCAGCCATATGTACGTGATGATGTATGACGGTTGACCCCTGTCTCATCCACAAAAACAAGTTGACTAGCATTGTAAGTCACCCTCATATGCCTCCTGAAATCTGCTCGGAGCTGTTCATCATGCTCAGCTGCTGGCCTCTGGATCTAGTAAACAGGCACTTATCAGGGTTTGAAAGGCAGTTGGGAGTCAGAAGATAAACCTTCTTTCTGGTGAGACCGTGCCTATGTAGCGCTCTGGAAATCGTCCAAGTGCTTGTTTCAATCCCAAGCTCATTTCTAAGCCCAGCCTGTAATTCATCAAGGTACAAATCCGGCTTTTGTTCGATGAGGCTGTCAAGGAACTTGAGATCATACACCACAAGTTCTATTTAGACACGATTTTTGTACTTACATTCACTGCATGGATACTAAGCGCTCGATGTCGCCCTCATGTTTCAACTTGATCCTGATGGTGTGCATATGGAGCAGTGAGCAACTTCCAAACAGTGCATTCGGACACTCCCAAGGCCTCAGCAATCTCTTGTTGGGTCATCCTTGAAGATAATGACACCAAGATGTCCTTCATGCTGTGCTCAAGATGTTTTCCCATGTTAGCTAGACAGAGTTCATGGTTTGTTGATGCAGGGGCAATGAGTTTGGGTGCTAAGCACCACATTTAGGGGAAGTTCTATGGTGCCATTGGGGTTTCCATTCAAATCCTGGTTTTGGTAGCAGGTGACTCCACCCCAGATCACTTCCGCCAAAATCGAAACCAGCAGATTTTTTTGCACTTCGCTGTAACCCAACACCCCAAAGCAGCCCGATTAAAGGGCAGTCAGGATTGAGGGAGAAGAACAACAGCTATCTCACCATCAGGAATGAACATGACTCTCGCTCATGTTCAGAGTCTCCTTCCTCCACAGCAAGTACAGGTGGAGAGCCTGTCACCTATGACCACCTCCTTAGGTGTGCACTGTCATATCCGTGCATACCCGACCCCGACCCGACTTCCGGACCTCCACCCTCTTCACCTCCGGAGTCATAACCTACCGCTGCCGTTCCGATACTCACCTTCGGTCCTGGCAACACACCACCTCCTACTACTCCGCTCCCCTCCACAACACCTCCACCCTCCCGTCATCCCCCTACGCTTCCCCCGTCCGTTCCGATACTCACCTTCGGACCTGACTACTCTCCTTTCCGCCACTCCTTCTTCCTTACCTTTCCCCTCTCTCCTCCCTCTGTTACTCCTCCGCCACCCTTCCGCCAAGTTACGACCTTCCACCGCTGTTCCGTACTTCGCACTCGGACACCGCTCGTACCTTACTCCGAGCCTCCATCATAGTCCCTACCTCAGACTTTGACTCCACCTCGGTCTTAGTCCATTGCATTGGTGACCTCATACTACGTAAACACCATTGCCAATATCCCTCGGACTTTCAACCCCACCTCCGTAACCTCCGTAAGCTCCGCAACCCCCGAGCTTCGCGGATCGCCTTCGGCACTCTCGCCGCTTGTAATGTATTTCTCGCATTTTCCCCTCATCCCTATTTGGACTACTGCTTCTTCCTATTCTAGCCAGTTAGTCATCATCCCCACTTCCCCTCATCCTCCTGCCCCTCTGGGCCTCGCCCTCCCTACCTCCTTTCGGATGTATCACAGGTCCTGCCTTATGACCTTCGGTACCGCTCCGCTCCTTCTACCCTTTGTTCCTGTTCAGACGTCTTCGTTCCGATTCGGTTACCCTTTGTTTTCCTTGTGCTTTTGCCCCTTCCATTATATATATTGGCGCTTGTACATACTCGTTTTGGTTTAGTCCGAAATCGACCTGAAATGCCCCCTAGAGACTTCCTGCTCACCTACTGTGAAATTAAGGACCAAATGGACAAACAGCAATGGCAC